CTGACCTGCCGCGCAGCAGAGCGCATTCTTGACGAAAGGCAGAAACACAGCCACAGGCATTCCTGTTGGAACATGTGCCACTTGTCTTCCACCAAGAGTCGCAGCCCCGATGTCTGCTGAAAGAGGCACTGCGTCTCTAGCTCCACTCTGCTCTTGCCCAGCCGAGAAGAAGGGCTTCATCTACCAGACAGCTTGCGCTCTCTCTAGGCGCCCTGAGTAGATGGGAAAGGGCCCGGGTTGTGGCAAGACGACTTTCCCATTGTTCTTATGCCGTGTAACAGTGCTTGCATCAAAGTCTATACAAGCTCACTGCTGCCTGAAGTCTGCCTCTAAAGCTAATGGAAGCACTTCTTTGGATTTGACTCTTCATTTCCCCCCTACATTTCTTGCTTGAGAAGCCAGTTGAAGTAAGCCCATTGCCCCAAACCTAAGGGGCACAAAGAAAACAGAATTGGAAGGGTTCTGTTTTTGATACGATGCTTTCACTGTAAACAGAAGGTTAAGCAAGAACCGTCGCTACAAGAATCATGGAAACTTTCAGTAGACCAGAACATCAGCGTGTGATGCTTTTGCTTCATACCCATCTAGGTTTACACGTTTCCAAGTGTTTCCATCTTTCTCACCTTTCCTTGAGCGCTGAACTCCGTGAGTGGGTCCACATCAAAACAGCAGTTTGGGCAGCACTGAGAGACTCAACTCCTGTTCCTGTGAAACGTTCTTTGACTGGGAAAGGGGGGGATCTGAAGGGGCAAGATCAGGGCTGCACTGTAGAGTGGACGGTCTTGGGGAAGCCTGGGCTGCGCTGGGAGAATGAGCCGGTGCATCGTCGCGTTGGGCGGCAACCTTCTTGGTGCAACTCGCCTGTCCTTTTCCTCCACGACGCAGTTTTTAACGTCTTCAAACTTCCTTCTAATAACACGTCATGAGTTTTCTGGGTCCCTTGGTGAACGCTCACAAGATGACCTTCTTTGGAATCCCAAAAACAATCGCCAGGACTTTCTGAGCGGAGCTCTCTGCTTTGTCTTTCATTGGCCCAGGCAACGCTCTTGGAAGCCACTGGACCTTTGAAAACACACAAATAATTGAAGGTGCCCTAATGAAACGAAGACAAGTATGTTACTGAGAGAACTTGTCTGCAGCCTTCCACCCATCCCAGACACGTGGCTACACGGGGTTTCCGTGGAATAATCCTTTGCGGGAGTATTCATGGCAGTATTAATAATAATAATCTTCGTGGCAGTATTCTTTTGTTTATTTGTGTGCTTGGTATATCACTTGACTTACACTTCTCTTAGATAGATAGCTTCCTGCCTTGAATTTGCTCCTTAAGGTTGGTTAGTTAGTTAGTTAGTTAGTTTATTTGTTGGTTTGCTTGTTTGTTTGTTTGTTTGTTAAGGGACGTCAAAGCATGAGTGAACTGTCTAGGAATACTCAGCCTGGAGCTGAGTATGCAATCCCAGTTCAGACAGCGTCGAGGCGATTCCTGTGCATGGTGACCCCACGTGCGTTACAGCAGCTTTGTGCTCCCAGGCTTGTCATGGCTGATGATTGAGAAGCTGTTACGGGTCCTTCTTCTGAGGTACCTCGGGGTGGACTCCAAGCTCTTGCCTTTTGGTTAGCAGCCCAATGTACTAGCCATGCGCACCACCAGGAACACCACCAGTGCAACGCAGACTGAGTTTTTGTTTGCTTGGTGGTTTTGCAAAATCTCTCCAAAATGTAGCTAGCAAAAGAATTCCACACTTTGGTTGAGATGGGCTCACCTGGGAGGTTTCAAAAAGTTCGTGGGAAAATTCCATCATCTTTTGATTCCAGTTTCCTTTCGTTCTTTCTTTCTTTTTAAATGACAGTAGGAAGTTTATTTGCTGACCACTGTTTGAATACAAATTACAGAGAACTAGGAAATATGAGGACAAAGCAAAATTAGCAGGCAGAAGAGGCAGCGTGAGCAGGCAGGCCACGGCCGGAACCCTGTGTTTCAGCAAGGGGAGGTGAACAGAGTTGCGTGCTGTGTGTACTTGTCCTGGTTCCTCTCCTTCAAAAATTGTGCCAGTATCTGCACCTTATTGCACCCAGACCTAACCCCAAAACTGCCCAGTTTCCAAAGCTATAAAATGCGGTCAGAGTCAGTACGAGCTTTTCAGTGTTCTTTTCCCCTGAATTTGTCGGTGGTGGCTGAGGCTCTTGAATTTCTTCGGTGATGTCAACGGCAGGCTGTTGGAAAATGATCTCATGATCCTCATCATCATTCAATTCGGCCGCTTCAGACTTTCGCCTTTCCAAATATGATGGTGTACAAACTGGTGTCGAGCCCTGGCTATTCATAGAGGTCTGAAGATCACTGTTTGAAACATTTTGGTTTTTCTTTTTAGGTAAAACCAAGAGAGGAAAACTATAACATACCACGCCAGGGGTAGGTTTCTCTTGCCGGGGGCCTGGTGCCGTTGGACCTGCACCACCTGCTTCTGAATCTTGGCCTTGACCTGCGCCTGCCAGTTTGCCACAGGGCTTAGCAGGGCCATCAAAGGTCGCCCTGTCCCAGTCGCCCTAGCTGAAATGCTCCATGCAGAGCCTACAGAAACACCTGATTCCATTTTTCGATGAACGTTTTAGGGCCGCCGCCTACACCTAAAGAGGTAGACATCTTGAAGACAATCTGTTCCTGAGCTCCCTAAGCAAGGAGACATGATGCTCACAGCCACGTCACAGCAGGCCATCAGAGGAGACAGCAGGGACCCTCACCACCCTCCAGGCCCCGGGGACACCGGCCAGGGTTCCATGCATGGTAGAGTTTGGGGTTGGAAATGGACCTAAACACAACAAAATGCCCTTTCCTCCCTCCAGGTCCCCCAAGGGGAGGGGGGAGCGGCATTATAGGTGGAGGCTTCAAAACATCTGTGGGGAAAAACCATCATCTTTTCATTCTATTTTCCACAAATGTTTGGAAGCCCCTCTGAATATTGCGGTTGCCATTCAAACCTTTTCTGTCGATCTTTTGAAAAATCGCTGCCATTCTTTTTTTGACTACAGAAACGTACAAGGGAAATAAATAACTAATAAATTGCCCGCCATCCTCTTTTCAGCGAATCCCTCTGGACATTGACAAATGAAAGTGGTGTCTTTTCATGGCTTACAAGTTCAATCAGTGTAGACAGGAATGCAAAGCAAGTGCTTCCTGGGTTTACTTGGTATGTGATTGCAGACTCTAGTCTACCTGGGGACAGTCCCTAGGAAGACCCGGATTCAAGAATAAAAGCACATTTGTCAAGAGAAATCTAGGGAATGACAAGGCTGGTAACACAGAACATTGCATGTAAAGAACCCTCCCTGGACATGAGCAGAAGAGGCAGAAAGGCACTCCCAGGCTACGAAAGGCATGACCACGGAGAAGGCCGGGATGCTGGGAAGCGCACTGCCATTGAGTCTGTGTCGGCTCTCAGGGACCCCATAGCAGAGGAGATCTGCCCCTGGAGGGTTCTGAGACTGCAGGTCTTTACAGAGCCCCATCCTCAGGCTCAGCAGTTGGTAAACCACTAGCAGTTCTATGGGAGACGGACTGGGCTTTCTACAGTCTCAGAAACCTACAGGGCGTCACTGTGAGTCAGCACTGACCCCATGGCAGAGTCTGACTGTTGGTTCACTCTCTACACGGGTAGAAAGCTTCATCTTTCTCCCTGGCAGGCACTGGGGGTTCCAGTTAGCAGCCCCCACACAGC